ATCACTTAAGTTAAAATATTTGGAAATAATATATCAAATGCTTACACTGAAACAAAATAAGGAGCACCTCATTAGCCCCAGAGACAAAATAAAAGTTTTTTCCTACAGATGCTGTTTCCTACAAAATGCTATTTAGAGCTGGTTTTTATCTGGAGGATCACAAAAATATTCTACAAACTTGATATCATTTCACCTACTATTCAAACACAGCCAGCACTGTAATAAAATGCATTTACCAATTATTGTTGCCTGGCAACACTACACAACAGTTTAAAACACATTGGAAAGAAGAAGGGAGAAGTAAAAACAAACCCAGAGAAAGAGACAGAATGTCACTATACAAATTTGTATCTGGCCAGGATTAATATCTGCTTCATTTACACTTGCTGCTGCTTGCTTTTATGTTCATCAGCATGACTCTTCCCAAATACCCTCTCAGGCGTAAGCAGTCTGGGCCTATTGATTAATACAGGTCCATGTGCTGAGATGATTTTGCAGAACAACATGAAAGTTGGCTACTGGCACATACATTTATTAATAAGATACTAAAGCCATCTTATTAACGAGATGTAGTTTTTCCTCCTAGAAGTACAAAAATGAAGGTCAAATGATAAACCAAGAGAAAATACGCAACCCTTTCATAACCCACTTCTTGGTAGTCCTGGAAGGGTTATGTTCTGGAATTAGGTTTGAAGAAACAAAGATGGCTCTGGCAGGAATCTGAGTAAAATATTAGACACAAAACACATCTCCCAGGGTAAATAAAAGCACATCTTGAAAGAAATATTTAGGGTGTGGCATGCCAAACAGATTTCAAGCCATGGTTCTCGTTAACTACAGTGACAACCGCAACATGCTTTCTGATTTGAAGGAACTCTGTTTTTTTCTCCACTTTCATGTATTTGCATGCGTTTAAAAGCAGGTACTGAAAGGACTGGGTGACCAGGACATCAGAGAGAAATATAGGACAACCTATTGTAAAACATTAAATCCTCTGCATTATAATTTTTTCTGTACATCACTATGCCAGAAAATAAGGGAAATAACCTGTTTTGGTCTGTTTCAGGTTTTCATACAGCCTTATCTTTGACTGTCTGCCAGGTTCATAAGTTATCATGCCATAAAATCAAATGAGTGTCTCTAAACAAGAGATTAATTTTACTACTGTTGCTAGTTAACCAAACTACAGCTTATTATTTGAGGAAAAATACTAATAACACTATTACCACTAATATGGAAAACTGGTGGATTTTAGGAATTGAAAACTGGTGGATTTTAGGAATTGCTTCTTTTTCTATTCTTTAAGTCTACAATATACATGAGATGAGATTTTAAAGACAACATCAATTCTTTGTACACATTTCTAAAAGAACAAAGAAGCTGTTACACATGAATCAGATGCAACTAAATTCAGCAAACTATTCTGCTGCTCTGTTCTGCTGTTAAATTGTGTCACCTTGGGTGAGTCTTAATTTCTTTGAACCTCACTTTATTAATCTGCAAAACAAATGCAATACTTATCGACTTGTGGAGAGTTGTGAGACTTAATTAGTTAAGGCTTGTAAAGCACTTTGAAATACTTAGATAAAAAGCACAACAGCGAACACAATACATTTCTGAAAATCACAGGTGCACAATTTTCTCCGGATGAATGGGCTGATCCCTAGACTTATACCAGAGGATATATCCCAAATACCAACATTCTTGACAAAGTTTAACTTTTTTCAGAGTTACTTTCCTTATTTTGTGCCATAATGATATATGAAAATATATGTCATTCAGGGGGTGAAATGTTTTACTTATAACAGGTTGCCCTGCATTGCTATTTGATACTCTGCTCACCCATCCCTTTCACCGTTCTGCTTCATTCACATGCACATGGAGAGAAAAATCACAAAGCCTGTGGCAGTTCTGTCATCATAGTTAAACTAAAGCAATGACAGTATCCAAATCCTTTTGTAAGCCTTACAAAACTTGTTATACCAAACAAATGACCCCTCCTTTATTTTTTTTTTTAATATAATTACCTGAGATGTTAGTTGTTACGTTGATTGTGGTTGCCGGCCCAAACCCTTTGACTGTGCTGGCACGTATAAAGAACTGGTAGGTGGTACCAGGATGCAGATGTGAAAAGACATGGTGGGTACTGTTCCACAGCTTTGAAACAGTCTGTGGAGGTCCTGCCACTGGAACTGCAGGATCAAATGACCGAATACTGCTATAGCTGACCTGTTAAAATGATTATTTTTAAAGTTAGGTTAGATTAGTGGTCTCCAGCCTTCTTAAGTAGGAGATCACCTTTGGCATGTAAAAGCAACCTAAGATCTACTGTGCACCGCTGCCACCTCCTGCCCCCTGCCCAGCTGGTAAATCTATGGAGAGGGAAGAGTGGCGGGGCAGAGTGAGGCTGAGTGAGAAAAAATTATTTGGAGGCATGCCTTGTCAGCAGGTCCCTCACTGTCGGGGCCTTGATCTAGCCCTCATCCCTTCCCTCCCCCACAGACTGACCTCCGGGGCTCAGGCATGCATGTGCATGCATGCAAGCACTCAGCCCCCCACCCCAGCCTTAGATCGACTCCAAGAGGTTCCGAGATCTACTGGTAGATCAAGAACTGCTGGTTGGCGACCACTGGGTTAGATTATTTGACAGAATTGGGCTGAATTTAATCTATAGGTTTACTTGTAAAGGAAACAGATGGTATACTGATACCTGGAAGTAGATAAGTAGAGAATATGGTGTAATCCTAAATGACACTGCTGAGTATTACACTATTAACAAGTACTAAAGTAAAATCTTTTTCCTCCTGAGCACTTTGCCTACTCTTCTTTTCCTCTTTCATTTCACCACCCTATTAATACATACCCTCAGTATTGTAGTATTACATTTAAGCTAGCAGGGCACATCCTTCACTGTTTCTAATAGTTACCTGTCTATACTCTCCAAAGCGTGCTATTATATCCAAACCTAGCAATGGCATTCAAGAATGACATTGGCATAGTGATGCCTATATTCACTAACAGTTCAAGTATATTCCTGCTTTAATGAACTAAGAAGTCAATAGTCATTAAGTCATCAGCACAACAGAAATTGAACACTTAAAGAGGGAATGGAATGGTCCTAGTCTGCCCCTTTTGTAAGCATTTATATCCACGTTTTTGATGATTTATGTTCCATATCCAAGAGAATATACGTTTTAAAAAATGTGTATACAGAATGTGTATACAGGCTTCTGACTTCTTAGAAGCGAGATGGACACACTTTAAAAACCCACAGAAAGTTAGCTTTAACATTAACACATTTTTTGTGTGCAAACTTCTCTTTCCACAACTGAGATTTCACAGGTTTGCACAATCATGTTATTGGAAGTCTATCTATATACATACAAGCTTTAAAAATCAGCATTTTAATTACTCACAGATTTTTTAATTTGTTATAGCCATTTAATATTACTGATGGCCCTGGCCAACCAATACTACTATGCATGATGCAGAATTTTGCAACTCTAGTCACCACAGAACTTACATTCCTACGTAAAACAGCAGCTGAACTCAATTTGCCTCAAAGCCAAAGATGGATAAAATCAGCAGTAATTATTCCTCCCACTTCTCAATGCTGACCTCCCAAATGCTTTTATATATATGTATTACCTCATATTGTGTGATGATACCGTTTGGATCCAAAGGTTCTTTCCAGTTAAGGAAGATCTTGTCTTCAAAGGGGGTCCCTTTTACTGATTTTGCAGGTATAGAGCCAGGCACTGTAAATAAAGTAGGACTTTTTAAATTTATAGGAATTCAGGAGAAAGTCATAAACTGAAAATTTGTTGATGATTTACCCCACTGACAACATAAATTAACAAGAACAAAAGTTGGCACATCACATAGTATATCTTTATCCAGCTATGCAAGAGCACTGAATTGAGACTGCCTCCCTAGACTTGATACAACTTAAAATAAATTGTCTTGTAAAACAAACAGAGAAAGAAAAAAGCCAAGCACATAATGACCTAAGTGTTTAGAGTACATTAGTAACTTCCGTAATAAACATCTCAGAGCCAGAACTACATGTCAGAAGGCAGTTTTCAAAATACTTTAAAAACAGAATCAAAGGACAACAACAGTATAATTAACTACATCAGACTACTTCTAAATGACAGAAATGCTGCAACAACTTGCTAGTGTCAATCACCTTTCTTGCTTTGTTATTTTTATAGTACCAGGTATCGTAATAAAAATATAACTGTTTAACCATCATCTTCTCTCAGGACTAATGCTGTGCTGGGATCAGAACGACTTGATTCAACCCTTCAAATAAAAAATATCTTTCAAAGCATTGAACTGAACTAAGCAAGTATGACCCTTATTTTTATATCAGTGTAACCAGTGAAGGAATGTCTCCCTGGTATGATAAGGTCTGAAATCTTACCTTAGGCACCACTTCCTTAAGATGTATTCATAGTAACTGGTAATCACAACTATGCTAGGTCTGAATGTTTTGTTATTTTCCCCTTTTAACTTACAAAATATTTTTGCCTATGCCTATCCTCACCTGGAACGAGGGTACACATTTAAAAGAAAAAGGGGAAAGGGATATATATAAGAAACTTTAGTTTTAAAAATGATTTTTCTTTCACACTAAGTTACTTTTATTTTATTATCCAGGGATATATTTGCCTAACCTTTTAATTACTTTATTTTCTTTAATCCAACATGCAATGAGCTTCACACATGACATTTCCTGGAGATTTATTTTCAAAGCATACTGTAATTTTGTGAGGGGTAAAAATAAATTAAAAATCACTGGATCAAAGAAAGCGTTATGCACCGTGCTAACAGCATGAAGGAATAGTGAGTGGTCTGTCACAGCAGTAAGATTTATTTCAGTCTACATGGAAGCCATAAATGATGAGCTGACCTCTGGGACAGGCAACATAATTTGATACATTAATAATAAATTCATGGAATCAAAGCAGCCCACAAGTAAACAGATGAGACTCCAACACCCAACTTCATAGAAACTGCTCATCCATCTGTCAAGTGAAGACTTGGGAGAAGTTAACTAAAATCATGTACTGCCATTTTACTTCACTGTACTGACACAGTGTGTGTCGTGGATAAAGGCTGATACGCCATGACAGCCTCTCTTGTGCTGTTTTTGGCATTTGCTGATGCTGCCGAAGGCATTGTTCTGTTTTGGACTAGAATGCTCCGCTGTTTTTCTTCTCCACCGCTCAAATGAGGCATGGTGTGGCATATACTGTGCACAGGTAATGTCCTCCTTCATGCATCTGAATGTGGGTGAGTAAGAGCGCACGAGTCTACAAATGGAATGCACTTTGTTAAATTATACTAAATCACTATTTTAATGTAGAATTCAAAGTAAAGGAAGTGCACGCACACAGTTTGTGAATAAAGCTGCAAAATATTTCTTGTCTCTCTCTTAGATAGATTGCTTCAAAAGGGGCTGCAACTGGGTACTGGGCTAGATGTAAACCCTTCTAACACATCTCTTTAAACACCCAAATGGGAGAAGCCTACAGGCAGATCACATGGCATGATCATGCTCTGTGCTTCTGCACTATAAAATTCTTTGCTTGTGGCAGCAGCAATGTTAAACTGACTGGAACTACATGATCCTAGTTAGTTTCATGCTTCTTTTCCCACTGGCATCAGAAGGGCATAAGAACAAAAGCTTGTACTGTGCGATTATCATCCTCTGCTCTTGGGAATGCCAGAAAAATAAGTTGGGGAAGACAGAGAAAAATAGTTATCTAGAAATAAAAAAGTGTGTGTGCAC